TTTTTTTTTTTTTTTTTTTGAGACAGAGTCTCAAGCTGTCACCCTGGGTAGAGTGTTGTGGCGTCCTAGCTCACAGCAACCTCCAACTCTTGGGCTTAAGCGATTCTCTTGCTTCAGCCTCCCAAGTAGCTGGGACTGCAGGCGCCCACCACAATGCCTGGCTATTTTTTGGTTGTAGTTATCCTTGTTGTTTGGCAGGCCCAGGCTGGATTTGAACCCGCCAGCTCCAGTGTACATGGCTAGCGACCTAGCTGCTGAGCTACAGGCGCTGAGCCTGTTTTTCATTTTAAAGTGACATTTGTTTATGGTTCATGAGTTCATTCAACAAATCACATGTTTATTGCCAACTTTCCAACTAAACATTAGATATAATATCATTAACTCAGGTACTATGTAATCTTACTATTAACATATACTGAGGCTGTCTGAAAATATTAATACACCTATTTGTTTGTCTGAAAATGTTAATATCATATGAGATTCTGCATTTTAGTGGAAATACATTGCTTTGGGGGTCTTGTGGGGAAAGTAACCAGTTTGATTAAACTATCTTTGTTTGCCATAGATTTCCAAGGCATAACTTGATAATCATGTTTTAATTATTATCATCTATTGATTATTAAGTTGAAAATCCAAATCTAGTATGTTCTGTAGAAAAGACAGAATCTCTTCTGAAGGGCTCTTTTTATTAATGTGCTTGTGAACTTTATTTCCTTTAATTATACCTAAATGAAAATATTAGCTAAAAGAATTTAAAAAGAGCAGATATTTTTGTATAAGTATAAATATTTCAACATGAGAAAATTAGCATTTCACATATAATGAAAATGTAGACACTGTCCTCTTATGGTAGACATAAGTACTATGAAGAAAATATAGTTGTTGATTAATATTTCACATAGATCAGAAAAATTAACAGTAGCTGGTAAGAATGGAAAATCTTTCTCTTAGGCAGAAACTCACAAATTTTTAGCGAATGTTGATCTAATGTAGTTTTTAAACAAGTTGAATAATATAAACTGAACATTTTTTTAAAAGATGTATTGGAAATATTTTGAAAAGTTTTTCTCATATTTCTTATGCACATTGGCTTTTAATACACTTATTTAGTAAATATTTCAGTTTGTTTATAAATAATTGAATACATAAGATATTAATATATTTTAGAGATAAGGAAAAAATATCGGATTTAATTTCTAGTAAGTGAATTCATTCAGACAATTCAACTATGATTAAGCTTTTTAAAAATGAAAAATAGTAAAAATATATGTAGTTTAAAGACTTAAAATGAGTGCTTTTAGTTTTTGTTTGTTTAAAGATTACCTATGCTAATTAAATGATGTTGATTTGATTTTAATCGGAATATTCACTAAATATATAAAGGGGGCAATTTTACATTAAAGCAAAATGGGAAAAGGGCTTTTGGTTGTATGGACAAGAGTCAATATTTCCCCAGGTCCTTTGTAGCTTGATTAGATAAAGAGCAAATCTAATATTGACTGAATGTAATTCCAGGCACTCTTCTAAGTATTCCACCTTAGAATACTCATTTCATTAAATCTCACAGCAACCTTCAGGTGGCTAATATTAATTACCTCCTTTTTTCACATTACAAAATTGAGGCAGACCATAACCTGCCATCCACATGTGTGCCAGGATGCAAACACGCTACCCAGTCTGACTCCGGGGCCTGCAAACCTCATTACCGTGCTATTTGTCCCGTCAAGTGCCACTGTACTTTGGTTCACAGAATTCCATGTCCTCTCTGTTGCTAAACCGACAGGTGTGTTTTGGCTCACGCTACCTCTGCAGAAAAAGACCTGCACCTCCTGACACCGGCGAGGCTCTCCAACTGGGAGCTGGGCGGGTCCCATCTCCTAGGCGACAGCAGAAGCGCTCAAGTAGCCGGAAAGGAGACGCCATCTCTCTCTTTGGATCCTTCTGTAAAGAAAAAAATCCTACCCGCACTTAAGTCTCTTGCATCCTTTCTGTTAGAACCAATTTCTTTAAAGTTGGCTTCCTGGCCACCTATACTCCGCTAAGGAAAGCAATTAGATCTTTCTAGTGAATGGCTTGAATGTGCATCTCCTCTTACATTTTTATCAACCAGGTTGGTGTATCCCCAAATTCGGGAGCAGTAAGTCCTGACTACCGGCGGGAATGTGGTGGTGCGTTACCATTTATACTATAACATAATATTTCTGTATCGCTATATATACAGGGCACCCTCTTCTCAGACTCCGGGAGGGTGATGTCACTTCCTTCGCCCGGGGGGTTGCCCGGCGACGCTTGGGGCCGAGGGCCGGTTTGGTACCCGAGAGACCCGGAGGTGGGGGAGCCACTTCCTTCCGGAGACTCTGTTTCCTAGCAACCGCCTCCCAGCTCCCCAGGAGCTCCGCCCCCTCGCTGCGCCCGTGCCCGCGGTTCCGGCGCTGCCAGGCCCAAGGCCGGGGCCGAGGGTCCTCAGGGTCGCGGGGAACTTGCGGCAGGAGTGGCGAAGGTGGATACAGAAAGCGGGACGTAGCGGCCGAAGGAGACGGGACGGAGATCTCAGTTGGGTGTGCACGGGGTGGGGGGCACCGGGCGCGGTGAGGAGCAGGCGGGGATCCGGCGCCACCTGGCTAGGCCAGGAATGGTCCCCGGGCGCGCGCTGCTGTGGGTGGCCCAGTGGCCGAGACCCAGGCCGCCTTACCCTAAGCACAAGAAATAGCAATTTTAAGGCAGCCCATCGCGCAGACGGTGTCATTTTGTTTTGCACAGCCCTGTTAACACTTTCGTGAGAGGGTAAAAATGGCTTGTTAAATCCATCGCTGGCTGTTTGTTTAGCATGATGGTCTTTTTCTCTGGGTAGCGCTGTCTGCGAGCATTTTTTTGTGTGTGCGATATTGGTGTTGGTGACTTTTATGCTGGTAGCCTTTTAAATAAGGCGTGACTGTTTGGTCTGCAGTCTCATTTTTGAAGAAAGGTGACAAACAAGGCTTATTGGCAGTATTTTGTTAAATTAGCCTGTTGGAATCATTCATTTCCCATTTCTTAAAATGGTTGCAGAACTATTTTAGGATTACTTCCATTCGAGTTCTCCTGTTTTGAAAGCAGCCTTGTGAGAATTTGGCGTTTCTTTACAAGAACTCTTTACTTTTTTAAGTGAAGACATAGCGCAGTGTTCATACGGGATGCTTTTCTTAATTGCGTTGGCTTTGGGGAGCACCAAATGGGTGACAGAAGTCCTCAAGCATGCAATTTATTTTTTGGTATTTGTTTTTTCTATATTTCTGATTTGTTTTTTCTATCTTTCAGCCACCATCCCAGGTTAAATTGTTCCAATATTTATTCACGATTTCATAAAGGTAAAGAGAAAAATAATACACTATGTCTGATGAAGTTTTTAGTACAACTTTGGCATATACAAAGAGTCCAAGAGTTACCAAAAGAACTACTTTCCAGGTAAAGTCTTTCAAAGCAGTTTTATTTTGAAGGATTTTAGAATGTAAACACTATAATGTTGGATTTGGTGATTGCAGGAACAGTCCTATATAAAACAGAAGCAAATCTTAACATTTCTTTTAAGGTTTTGCAGATGATTACATTTGAGTTCCAGACCAAACCCTCTGTTTAGCTTTGATGCCACCAAAGAGGCCTCATTATTAGGTTCTTACCAAGTTAAAATTAAAATTGCAGTTTTATTTTATTTATTTTTTTAAGTCAAAAAGATTCATTTTTTTTATTTTTATGTCCAAGCACAAGGGTAATGAAATATATTTTCCATGCAAAATATTATATACATTAAATAACATACAGTGGTAACAATGCAGTGTAGGTTTCCTGGGAAACAGACTCTGTGATAGAAATATATAAGCAGGAAGTGGATTTATTCAAAAAATGTATTTCTCTGTATAGAAATATACAAGCAGGAAGTGTATTTATTGGGCAGTGCTGTCTAGATAAGGACCAGTGAGAGTGGAAGAATGAAGCAGGAAGACAGAGCAAGAAGTTGAACTCTATCAAAGTCCTGACAAATATCTCAGTTGATCCCTTGAGGAATTTTTGAAGTTGGGAAAGCCCCTTAAAGATGTCTGAATTGAGGCAATGGCCAGTCTTTGGATATCTACCGCCCCACAAACATGAATCTTGAATGAGACAACTTTTGCCCCTGGCTAAAGAGAGTCATCTCATTAAACTTCAATTTTAAATTGCCATTTTTATATAAAAATATTTTTCCACTGTAACATGATAATTGTTTTCCCTATTGGGTCACTACAATTTTGAACTCAGCCTCTAAAGTGTGGATTATAGATAGCCATTTCTACAACATGCTAAAACCAAAGCTTCTAACAGTTTCTTCTATAATGGCAGTTTCTATAATAATAAATCCTATCTCAATTGAGTCTCTTCTTGCCCTAATTATAACCTGCAATTAATTTATTTGCTATTGTACATTTCCTCCACTGTAACTATAAGCTCTATGAAGGAGGGGGTTCTTTCCCCTAATGCTCTGCATTGAGTTGGAGGGCTTAGGTGCAAGTCATGAAGTAGGTTTGCAGTGAATGCTTATTGGATGAATGAAACCTAAGTTTGAAAGCACTTATGAATGAAGCATTGTTTGTTTAAAGAATGAATTCTAAATATGAGACCTCCACATTTGGATGGGAATTGATTTTGATTATCTCATTTCAGGATGAGCTAATAAGAGCAGTTACAGCTCGCTCAGCCAGACAGAGGAGTTCTGAATACTCAGATGACTTTGACAGTGATGAGATTGGTATGTGAAGGAAAGTAACCACTTTTCTTTTCATTCCTTTTGTTTTGTGTTTTAGCCACCTCCACCTTCCATAATCACTTATTAAAATAGTACCTATGAATTCACTAGTTTTCGATTTCTAACTTTTTGAGTAGAAAGCTTCTTAACTTTCAAGATGTTAAGATGTTGTATATTGTCCTTGGTTGTTTCTGAATGTGCACATGAAAATATAAACTAATTGAAAGCAGGTTTGCAATAAAAAGATAGTTGTCTGTGGTAAAACACCTTGGAGAAGACAGTTCATTTTTAAGGTCAACCCTAGGAGGCCTTATAGCTAGTTAGTCTCTGGCACTCACAGAACTAAGCTTTGGTCACATTGGATTCACTTTTATAATGCTTGTTATAAATTGTATGTTTTTTGGCTATAATAAGGGGCTGGTTTTTAAAAAAAGGCACTTTATGTTTCATGTATTAGTATCACTATGATTTAATTTGGCACCCTATACACACTCAATAAATACATTTTAAATAGTGAAATTGAAATTATTTTATATTTATAAAATAATAAATGTCAGTGAAAACACCCAAAGTTAGCTGTTTATTAGAACTGAAAATCTCTTTATAAAACAGATTTGCATGTATCCATTTTAGTAATTTCATTTCAGACTTTAAGGTAACATTACTTGTTTGATGAATTTAATGTAACCATCACAATTTTGAAAAATACTGTCAAAAACATCTTTTTTCCATTTTACAGTTTCCTTAGGTGATTTTTCTGATACCTCAGTAGATGAAAATTCATTTAAGAAAAAAGTGAATGATTTTCAGATATCAGATGACGAAGAAAAGAATTCTCCAAGACTGTCTTTTTTAAAAACCAAGAAATCAAACAGTGACATAACCAAAGATGGGTCAGTATGCGCCATCAAAAATGATGAGGAAATGGCATGTGATGGCTGTGAAGATGTAGTTGTAAATTCCTTATCTGATTCTCAAAAGAAAGACCAGGAAATTGAAAATGAGAAAATTAAAGTGAAACCTAAACCCAGAATTCTTTCAATCAAAAGCTCATCTTCAGGTAATTTACTTAAGATCTCAATAATCACATTTCTTGAAAATTTGTTTTCAGATAACCTGTCATAGTATCTTTAATGTGGTAGCCCATATATATTTAACTTAGAAAGTCAGACTTAACTTTTTAATTTTACAAACATAAGTCACAATAGTAGAACTAGTGAGAAAACCTGTGATTCCTGTGTGTGGTTGTACATTCAGCACTGTGAGTTATCCATAGCTGCAGATCCCAAAACACCTAGACCTGCAAACTTCAATTTTATTTTTAAGGACAGAAAAGAATGGAATCCCTCACATCTCAGAGATTGCTTATAACAGCATTGAGACTAATCCTTAAAATGGTTCTATCCCAACGTTTTTGCCAGAAAATTTGTCTGACATTTATATATCTGAAGGGAGAGTTTTGTTGTTGCTGTGGTTTGTTGAAGCCTTCAGGGTTGCCTTGAGAAAAGAAGAGACCCCTTTGTCTCTCGAAGAAAATTCACTAAGGTTCAGTTTTCCAAGGGGAAGTTCCTGGTGTGATCAGTTATTACAGTAGTGCTCCCCACAACGCTACTGAGCTTTAAGGACAAGGAGCAAAGGTAGAAAGAAGCAGGGACTAATCCCTGTGATGTGTCCTGGGCCACCACACAGGAATTTTTTTTTTTTTTTTTGAGACAGAATCTTAAGCTGTCAACTTGGGTAGAGTGTGTGATGTCACAACTCACAGGAACCTCAAACTCTGGGGCTTAAGCGATTCTCTTGCCTCAGCCTCCCAAGTAGTGGGACTACACCTGCCCACCACATCGCCTGGCTATTTTTTGGTTGCAGTTGTCATTGTTTGACAGGCCCGGGCTGGATTCGAACCCACCAGCTCTGGTGTATTTGGCTGGCACCCTAGCTGCTGTGCTGCAAGTGCCAAGCCCACACATGAACTTTTATGTGGGAGGTTAAGGATTTGGTATCTTCCAGTCTTCTTTCTTTCTGTTTTATAAAGGATATATTACTAAAAATTGTAAAAAGATCTCGTTAGGTTATATCATCAGTCAGTGGAGTGCTGGTAAATATTTCATATTTTGCATAAGGTATCTTTAATAACATCATACAAAACTTAATTTCAGGCATATTCGGGAGATATCCTCCAGCCTCCCCACAATCCCATTAACATTAAGATGAAGAGAGACTATAAGTAAAAACATCACAATAGTGTCCAGAACACTGGAGAAAAAGCCACTGTATATTAGTTATTTATGACTGCAGCAAAGATGTTAAACCTCACTCTCTCCAGGAGGAGGGGGAGAAAGCCTCCTCTTCTTGTCTTACCAAATAGTATTGAGGATTTATTGAAATGCATCTCAGAAGCTATAAAATGCTACAAAAATGCAAACATGAGGCACAATGAAAAAATTAGCGTTCTAAAATCGACCGTTTAAATGTAGTGAGTAAAAAATCAAAGATGAAGAGGGAGGAATAAAAGTGAGTGTGGTTGGCCCTGAATCAAGGCCAGCAGTTTGCTGAAGCTGTTGGTTTCAAGCAGGTGCCTAAAGAATTATCTTTCTATGGTCTGTTGGCTATTTCAGAACTTTGGAAATGTAATGGTCAATTCATTAGAAAGAAACAGTATGAGTTATTGGTGATAGATGTAGGCTAGTATATATTTGTAGTCTTAATACTGGGGTTCCAAAATATCTATAAAATATTATTATATTTATCTCAAGAGGATATTTAAGTTATTCGTTAGAATTATAGTGCTGTTAAATCTTAATTACAGCCCCCCAAAATTACTGTGGGTTTTTACCCAAAATAAAAATATAATTCTATAGAAAAAAAAAAAAAAAAGTGAGTGTGGTTATTTAGAAAATGTGAACATATAGCACCTAAAAATTCATCTGAGTCAGATGAGTGTATATAATTAGAAATTGATGGTGGACACATTCAGTAAAGTAGTAAGCCACCTATTTCATACCTTTTTTTTAAAAAAACCTATGGTGAATTAAATGAATAAGGAAATAGTGTATTTTGGCCACTAGATGGCACCACAATTCTAAGTGTTCCACGTAGTTGTATGTAGTATATGCAATATTATATTCAGTTTGTGTAACATAATTACCTAAATAGGTAATCTTATACATTTGAGCATGAAACAAAGCATTTTTTAAATGTAGTGGCATTTATTTTTCTTTTTGAGAAATTGACAATTCTGGAAGTGGAATTTGGTATAAAATATGCTAAAGTCATTATTCCCAGGTTCTTCGGGTTGAATAAAAATTGAGGCTAGTGGTACTAAGATAATGTTTGACATATGGAATACATTAAATATTTAAATGAATCAATGACTGCATGAATGATTTGTTTGTGATAGAGGGAATGTAGTTCATGAATTTATTCTCTGAATTCTTTGACTTTTTTAATACAATATACATATTTGGAACTCTATTTTTAGTGTGGTGAGATATTTCTGAGTAGCAAGTAATGCTTTATAAAAATATGAGAACTGGAGGTTTTTTCTGTTATAAGAAATCCAATAATCAGACTTTCACTTTGTATGACTTTCACTCACTTCATAAGTAATGATTATAGAAAGTATTTTCCTCAGGGTATGTTTTTGTGAACATTAACTGTGGAGGCAGGAGGTTGCTGCTTTATTCCCATATCTGCAGCTTACTAGAGATTTTAATCTTGGGCACAAGGCCTCTTTGATCCTCAGTTTATTCATTTTTAAAACAGGGATAATAGTTGAACTTGAGGTAATTAAATGAATTTGCCTATTTGAAGGGCTTCTAACAATATTGGCATAAATTTTAGAAAGCTATAATGTTTTGATAATTTCTTTTACTACTTAACATTTGTTAATAAGATATCATTTACTTATTTGTGTATATTTATCACGAATACATTATATTTTAATTTGGTATAAGCACTGTGATAGTAACTAAATCTAGGACATTGAGAAGATGTAGTAGCAATCATCCAACACATTACAAGTGTGTTGGAAGATGTAAATAGTGATAACACAGAAAAATGGGCACGTAAATTTACTTAATGATATCAGGAAAGGCTTCCTATAGGAGATGGTGATAATAATAGCAGTAATGACAAATAATAGCCATAGTCAAGATCTTGTCTATAAGTGACCCAACCCAAAGAACTTCAGTAGAAAGGGGAAGTCATTTCCTTATTGAAGATGGTTGTCAGAAGGCCTTGCTTCAGGGGTGATTTAAGGACCCAGTGTTTTTAGGATGCCTTTTGGATTCTCTCTTTTCTCCCCTTTACTTCTTCTGTAACTCCCTGCTCCTCTCATCCTCCGCCCCAGTTAGTGTAGCCCTTGGTCCTATTTTTTTGTACTCATGGCTGCTTTTTCTCACACAGTCCTTCATTTGGCAGGATAGAAAGCTACTAACAGTCTCCACATCACATCCTTCTATCTCCATGACCTTAAAGACATGTCTTCCAGCTCCAAATAGACAAATACTGGTACATCTGCCTGACCTCAGGACCACTTGCTCTTGACAGTGGAATTGAAGTTTCTGTGACAAGCTTGGAATGGGATGTATCCTGGGCACACTCTTCTCACTGAATATGGAGGAGATATTTGTTAATCCCTCAAAATCACATGGATGGAGTACAGGAGAAACTGCTTCAGTAGAGGAGAAAGCAGCACTGATAAACCTAAAAAAGAAAAATAGAAAGAAATGTTCACCATAATTGTCAGGGATCTTTGAGTGTTTACCATGTGATCAGACACTACACTACGCACTATATAGAATCTCACTGAGGTCACACAGGTACCTTAGGAGTTTTTAACTAATTTTACTACTGGAAAACTCTCCAGTGTATGTAGAGGTTAAATGATTTGTATAAGATTACAGAGCTAATAAGTTTCAGAGCCAAGGTTCAAATATGAGATGTCTAAAATAGTCAAGCTGATAGAAACAGAGAGTAGAATGGTGGTTGCCAGAGTCTGGGACGAGGGGGAGCCAGGGAGTTGC